TTTCCACAAGACTTCTGTGCAAATCTTGGATCTTGGATCTTGGTTTTGGGCAGGATGTTCCCAAATCCAAGATTTTCCACAAGACTTCTGTGCAAATCTTGGATCTTGGATCATGGTTTTGGGCAGGAATGCATTCTCTGGCATTCTCTGGTAGTGACAAAATTGCACTAAGTACATTTTGATCCTGGAATATTACTGATTACCGACATTTGTTCCTCATTCAATTCTAATTAACAACTAATTCAGCTCTAATTTACTTCTATGAATTTTTGTGCACATACAATTTAACTAAATTCTAAGTCAATTCTTATTCCAAATTATAATCACTTGTATTTCTATTAAAATTTCTAAGTTGAGTCTAATTGAAGTCTAATTGAACTTTAAATGGATTCTAATTTGAGTATGTAACATAGTTCTACTTTAAGCCTAAGTTGAGCCTAATTGAATTCTAAGTTAAGTCTATTTAGCTTAACTTCATTGTATAGACAAATTCTAATTCAGTGTTTATGCGAATTTACTCATTTCTATTTAAATTCTAATTATGTTTGGCTATTTTAGATCTAATGGAATTCAAACTTGAATCAAAATTTGAATCTGCAACGTGCTTCTAATTTAAATAGAAAATGCTCCTAATTGAACTTTATATAATTGAAATCAAATTGAGATTGCAAATTAGATCTAGTTCAATTCTAATTGAACTTAGATTCCAATTTAGTTCTAAGTCAATACTGTTCTACTAACCAAGCTCTAGGTAAAACAACTCTAGTTCAATTCTACCTTAGTTCTAAGTCAATTTCAATTCAAGTAATGGATTATTATTCAATGTTTTTCTTTCAACTCTAATTTAATTCCAGTCTACTTCTAATTTAGTTCTATTTCATTCTATTTTGGGTTCAATTGTAACTTTGACTCTTCCAATTTACTAGTAATTAATTTCTAATGTTAATGCCTTTATACGGTTCTCATTGCAAATTAGGTTTGATTTATATATGTCTAATTTCATCCTATGTTGATTCTAGTTCAATGCACATGGACTTCTAATTCAGTTTTGGTGTCATTCTAGAGAGTGGGTGTTGCTGGTGGTGAATTTAATTCATTTAAGAAAGCACATTCTTCTATATTGGAAAAACTACATAAAATCTCTCATGTTCAAAGTAACACCACTTCTCTAGAAGTAAATAATAAGTTCACTCAAATTAAAACTAAATTGAAAAAGAATACACTATTAGAATTGAATCTGACTTGTATAGCAATGAAGTTAGAATTAGCTTGAAATCAAATTAAAATTAGGCTTGCATTGAATCCCAAGTAAATTAGAATCTATAGTGATAGACCTTTGAATCAAAATATATTTTACACATAATTGAAATAGACTCAAATTTGAATTTGAATATACAAAGTAGAGTAGAGTTGAATAGATTGATTATGATGTACTTGCTCAACTGCATTCAATAAGAGGAGTACAATTCACACCGTAAAAAAAACATATGGTTTTGCATGGAGTTGCAATGAACTAGATTGCTCCATCCAAGAACTGCTTAGTAAACACATAACCTTATGGATTTGGACATTTTTGTAGTACATAGTTAAATGAACAAATATGCTTACCAACTGCACACCAGCACTCAGAAACATAGGTTTTTTTTTGGGGGGGCTAGCATATAATATATATATTTATTATACTGTATATATACCTTATCCAGTTGGTTGTGAACTTCTCTTGCAGGCGTCTTACACTCCAAACATCAGCAAACCAATAATGAACGGTGGCACGCTGGCACAAAGCCAGTTTAACTCCTTGCTGTCATTCCTGGAACCTCTGTGAGACTTTACTCGAAACTGCCGGGACTCCTCTTCCTGTGGACAGCTTGGCTCTTCCTCGCTGATCTCTGCTTCTCCTTCCACATCGCTGTGGCACTCGCAGGGCTTCACCTCCAAGGCGAGATCTGCTGTGTGTGTAGTCAAAGAAGCATAATATTATATTATGATCTGATCACTGACCTGATCATATATTCAAGTGCTTTGTCACTTTGCCAATGCCTGACTGGGTCAGAATTTAAATCTCGGTGAGAAAGGGTGAAACTGCATTTGCTGAGTCTTGCTCACACAAGTTCGCCAAGCCGCTCGGCCAATCGATCACAAATCCGCGACGCATCTGCAATGTCGTCATCGTCCATCGCATCCGACGCGGTACTCAATCGCTTCTGCAAATTGGAAAGGTCATCCTTCATCACATCGATCTCCGTCTCCAGTTGCTTCACAAATCCCCGATGCTCTGACACTGATTGTTGCTGGCGGTCCAGAAACTCTCCCAATTGACGGCACCCATCAGCACCGCCTTTGAGTGCGAGCGCCGCACCCCCGGAAAGGACAGCAACGGTTTCTGCGCTGATTCCAGCAACTGCTGCTCCCTCAACAGCTGCCACAGTGCCTGCCGCTACTGCAGCACCTTCAGCCACCGCTGCTGTGCCTGCTGCTACTGCAGCCCCTTCAGCCACCGCTGCTGTGCCTGCTGCTGCTGCTGCAGCCCCTTCAGCCACCGCTGCTGTGCCTGCCGCTACTACAGCGCCTTCCGACACTGCTGCTGTGCCTGCTGCTACAGCCGCTCCTTCTGCTGCCGCAGTACCTGCTGCTGCCAAAGCAGGGAGAGCAACTGCAGCAAAGGCAACAACTGCGCAAACAGCAAACACTTTTACTCCGAGCTCATAGTTGTTGGTGGTTTGTTCTGCCTCTTTTTGCAGACCAAAGAAGTCATCTTCAAGACATCGGATCTCAAGCTCCAGGTCCTGAGCACGTGATTCCTGACTCTGCAGGGTCTCGCTGACGCTCAGGAGGTATTCTTCAACATTTGACAATTTTCGGCGAAGTCTTCTGGGTTGCTGCTCAGAGGGTTCTATGCTCTTCAGGTCCTCAATGCACTCTCCAACATCCTTCTGGATACGAGATGTGGACGTTGCAATGTAGTGCTGAAGTCTGTTGCAACTCTGTTGCAGTTCTCTGGTCTTCTGACGCAAACTGGGTGGAAACTTGGATGCCTCACTGTCTCGGAGTAGCCCTGCAAGTGCATTCGACAACGCCCAAACTTGCTGCTGATAGTCGTTCATTTTCACCCACCAAATCCGATCACCATCGGCTCTTACGGTGGCTGTAGCTCGTCTTGCAGTTCTGGTTCTGGGTCGAGGGACTGACAGCTTTGGGCTGACAAAGTCCAACATCAGTCTATGTCCGAAAAGGAACACTCCAAGGATTCCGAAAGCGACGTGAATCATCGACCGATTCCAGGGGTTCTTCTGACCCATCCTACAAAAGGACACAGGACTAAACGGACAAGGCGTGGAAGAGTTTTGAGCAAATGGGCCTGTGTAGAGTATCTAATGTCGTGCTTCCTTCTTTGAATTATACCCGAGAAACATGTGTTTGTTAATCTTTTATAATCTTTGTTCCATCTGGCTGTGGCCCAACTAGCAACTGCTTCCGCTACATATTTCTCACTTGCAAACTAAAATGCTTCAGCACATGTTTTGCCACGTGGGACTCTGTTTGGGAGAGGGAAGCATGGACGCAACGCTGCAACGCTTGGATGTTCAATGTGTTTTTCATCGCACTCATCGCTGACGGCTGGAGCGATGGTGTCCTGGCGCTGGCGAGGTGTGTAACTCAAACGTCCGTCCGAGGGGTAAAGGGGAAGCAGGGAGACCACATACTATAAGACATATTAAGACATGATGTCCTTGTGTGCAATCCCAATCCAACTGTATTAAGCAAGCCCGCCCCTAATTCGCCCATTCCAATCTGCCAATGTTTGAGCCGTTTGAGTTCATGCTACTAGCAACTAGTGCATCTTGCCATGTGTCAACAGGAGGTCTGCAATGTCCTGAAGGTAGAAGTCCTGACCCAAAGCGATCCAACCTTGGCCCAGCGTTCGCCGGGCACTGCTTGAAGTTTGCCATTCCTGGCAGTCATTGTTATTGAGAGCACGTCACCTATGGCTGTCGATAGTATACAGTAGTGGACCATGAAGGAAAACTGCACGCGTGAAACTCATCGAAAAAACGAAAGCAAAAACATGAGTGTGATGTAACTACAAAATGGTAAATGGACGGATTTGGTTTTTCTGGATTTGGCAAACAGGCTGGATGACGTCTTCCTTGCAATGGCCAATCTCCGCTCCAGCACTTTGAAGCAAGTGCCAGACCTCAAAAACATCCACCCGAAGCACGCTCTGTCAGCAAGCATGCTACAACATAGTCACAAATGTTAGCTCAAAGACACACACACACACACACACACTCACACACACACACACACGCGCGTCAGACATGTCACAATATTGCATACAGGGTCATAAAGGTATGCTGCAAAGGCAGCTGCAAGAGTTGACAAGGTCGGTTGCTTGCGTCAAAACCTGCTGGCCTCCCAGTGCCCCTGACCTTTTGCCAGCACCAAAGCATCCTGAGTCGGTGGAGGAAAGCGGAACATGTTCACGTCATTTCATCTTGATGTCCATTCATGGCAAACACAGTACTTTGGACTTGGTGGTGGTGTCTCTGGCGGGCTCACAGTTCGTGGCAGGCGCAGTGAATTGTGAACTTTGGACTTGTGGCCCCGTTTTCGACTTTATCAGAAATATCGCATGATTTCGCACGTGTGCTCTTATGAGTGCGCTCTCATGCGTCTGCTATCATAATGTGTGCTCTCATGTCTCTGCTCCACCTTTGCGGTGCTCTCGGTGTCAACATAAGAGCCTCTGAATGCCTCCAGAGTTTCCATACTTGTGCAAGTCAAATCCGGACTGGACTTTTTGGTTTTGACCCCTTTGACCTACACTCGCTTCATCTGCCTCATGATAAACAAAAGAATGATGGAAGCAAAAGGTAAGGTTTTGTTGGGGGCATGTGAAATGGGCCCTTACCTTCTTTATTTCATCATGTTCCTCAATCTAGGACGCTACTAGGGGCTCCTGGCCTTACTACTAGGAACAAGAACATACAAGAACGCTACTAGGGGCTCCTGGCATCGCAACTAGGAGCAAGGACGCTACGAACGGGGCTCTTCTCCACCTTGTCCGACCGTGTCCGACCATGTCCCGCCTCACCAAAGTCATTGCGTCGCTTCACATCAGCAGATGCTTCAAGCAAAGCTTCTACCACCTTCATGGACATCAACAAGGACCATGGATGGATGGATCCCAACGGATTAGCACTTTTGTTTCAGATGGCCGGATCATCATGTGAAGGGTTATATAATTCTATGTATAGTACAGGCATACATATAGACTTATACATATATTTGTATATAGGTAATATATGTATGTGTATATATAAATAATTGGTCATACATACATATCACATGTTCAGGAACGGCACTCGAGTCATAGGACAAAGAATCTCCTCATATCACACATCATGTCAAATCATCTCAATTAATCGAATTCTCTCTCGGGCCACTCAGCCTCGCGGTGGCCCCAACGTGCAGCACACATCAGTGGCGAGTAGCGGCTTCGGCAAATTGGGCCTTCCACATGGGCCGCTGCTTTGAGCAGGAGACGTGCGCAAGCAGCTCGGCCCGTCCAGGCTGCGCGGAACAGCGGGTACCATCCATTTGACTCGACCTGACAGGACGAGGGGAGCTTTGGAATGCAGAATATGAACGCGTGGTCAAGCAACATGTTCTTTGCATGTTCATGTGGCGTCACGTGGGCCGGGCTTCCTCAAATTGACATGCTGCAGCATCTCGGTAAGTTAAACGTTCGAGACTCAAAGACCTATCCACATCTGTTGTCCTGTGCTCCCATCGTGCCTCAGTAAAACGTACACCGTCCACAGTCCACCCGGTCAACCACGATTGGCAGAAAAACACAATAAAGCTATAACACTTGCAAAGGGTCTCTCATGAGCTCTGAGGTTTCCCATGATCCAGTCACCTGCTGCACGTGGGCTGGTTGATCAAAAGCCATTCCAAGCAATAGCGCTAGAACTTCTTCCAAACCATACTCCGAAGCCCACGTAAGAGCTGTTTGCCCTAGCCTTGGAGCAGATCTTGACAATATAAGGTCATGGTATGCAAACACCCATTCATATTCTGTCCAATTCGACTTGATGGTGCATTCAAACAAATCCTCGCTTGAGGCGACAAGGTAAGGAGGACACGTTCAAACACCTGTCTACTGAATCGGTATCATGATCCTCCTTAGCAACTTACAAGAAGTGCCCATCTTTGTGACACGCTTCGTCGCTTCATGACAGAAAGGGAAGTTGAAATTAGCATCAGAAGACAATTCTGGTGCAATCCAGTATCTCGTTGGGCACGAAGGGATGGCAGCCAATCAGCAGCTGCTCCCCGACATAGCGCAACAGTGCGGCAGACGGTTGTGGGCCTTTGCGGAGCACCTGCCAAAGCGTGCTAAGCCAGGACAATCCAAAGACTTCTGTGATCGTGTCTGTGTTTGTTCTGCCTTCCACATCCTGCAACATTGAACTTTGAGGATCTTTGAGGCGTGCCTCACTGACGTTCTCAGGCTTTGCTGCCCAAAAGCCGCGCAGGCGAGGCAGCATGGAGGGACAAAGGACAGCAAAGGCGGCCTCGCGTCTCGCAGAAGCCAATGCTGGTGTCTTGACTTTGCTACAAACGAAAACACCAGAGAAAGAGGTCGTCTGGCAGTACAGTGTCATACTATATATATAATTGTAAATTATTAATGTTATATTCTATATTGTATCATATTATATCATATTATATATAACATATATATATTATATGTTATATTATATATATATTTTATATTATATATATACATTTATAAACCATTGTTTTTGTATTTTATTGTATTGAACCATTGTTTGCTTGAAGTTGCATTGAAGGGTGCCTTATGTCCACACACAGACACATACAGATACAGATGCACATGCATACTTCATGGACACTTGGCAAGACTGAATCTGCAGGAACTTAGATATCTAGACTTAGACATATTTAGAGATTGCTCTTGATCCATTTGTATTAATCAGGAGGACACTACTGCTGCTGGTGCTGACTCAATTAAACACAAAAGCAAACGAACAAATGCTGAGGAGAATCTTCGGTTCCATCCTCAAAATTAATTTTGGTGGGTTTTGAGTGTTTTTGAAAAACAAAACTACTAGGAACACAAAAAGGAATAAAAAACATCTTTGAGGCTGAAACCAAAGATTATCCTCGGAGCTTTGCTTTTCCGGCTTTGGTTTTTGGTTTTGGTTCAAGCCTGAGTCCAACTTGATTACCTACTGCTTTTTCCAAACTCCTGGTGGGTAAGCGTACTTCCTGGATTGATTGAAGATCTAAGATTCTACCAAAAGTCCAGCACGGTACTAGCATGGTACTGGTACGATTCCAAGTAGAATATATATATTGGCAGCGGTGCAGGAGCTGATGATTTAGGAATGAACTTGAACAATAGGTGTTCAATAGCAATGGTAGTACTAATATTGATGCAGTTGCTGGACATACATTTATTGACCTTGGACAAGTTATGGTTGGTGAAGTCTTCATAGGTTTGTCTACTTGGTTTGTGTACTTGTCTGTCTGGAGAATGGTGACACCTAAGGAAAGTCTGGAGGTCTATGAATGCAAATCCAATAGTCTTCGCTAAAGATACCCCAATACATGAAACCTGTCTCAAGGATACAAGGGTACATATATATAGTAGACAAAGTAAAATCAAATGATCTGGATCAAATGAACCGCCCAATCAGTGTTCCCTCTATTTTTGTTGATGTTTGCTGGAAGCAAGGACCTAAGGACGAGAAAATAGTTACAACACATAAGAAAAGTAGTTACAGTACCTGATTTGCAAAAAACAAAAAGCACATAACAAGAAACATATGCACATTGGTAAATATAATGTCATACCTGGTCTTTTGATAACCCATCAAGGCTGCTCGGATCGCTACACAATCCGCCTGTACAATAACTTCACATGGCAAAGGCTATCTGCATCATCTGAGAATGGTCAAGTCAAAACCTTAATTAATACTGATGATAGTGTATACTGCTGTGATCAACAAGGTTCAGATTGTTCACACTCATACTGGTGGAAATGAATAATATTGAGTGCACAGTATAGTCCAACATTTAGTTTGGTGGATGAAGAAGACATGAATCATATAATAGATATATATATATGAATATATAAGTATAAGGAAAACAAGCCCCAAAAAGTTCCTTGAAACTCAGACTTTGCAATAAATGCGCAAAATGACGCCAACAATCAACGGACATTTCATTGGGTGATACGAATACTATGATGTGTCTGTATATATATATATATGCGGAGACACGTTTTACAGAATTGTGAGATGGGTATTGCACCAAAGCTTCCCTCAGAATGGCCCTCCAGTTCTGTGGTAGCTCCAAAACGTCGTTCCCTGCCTGCCGCCTCAAGGGGCGCAGAGACCACAAATCCACTGGCCGCAAGAGCAGTGCCAAAGCGGGCAGCAGCTCGTCTCGAAGAAGGTCATCCATGGCGGATGTCCATCACCCAAAGGCTCAAGTTCATACTAGGTCAGATACAGTTTGTCGCCAGATGGTCTTTGTATGAAAATTGAGATTGAGCGGGACGAGGCTGAAAAGGATTGAAAAAGACCGGCTGCTTGCTGTCGATTTGTATGTTATACTGCTCCATTCCTGGTTCAATCCCAAATGATCCAATTACTGGTAACTACTCATTTTAGGTTCAACTTCAGGACAATCCCAGCCACCGACCAACTTCTTGATACGCTCTTACCAACTTCTTGATACGCTCTTGCAGCATGCTCGTGGCCTTAATAACTGCCAAACTTTAAGCCACGCGGCCATGCTTGACTAATCTATGCCCGATCTCTGGCCTCATGTCGCGGTAGGCTGTCGAGGACTTCGAGCTGTGGCAGCACCTACATGGCAGGCAAATCTCCAAAACGGCAGTGATTATGATACAATTCTCTGTGACGTGTTATTCGGTTTGCAATTACAAAGTTATATTTAACCATGATTCCACGACATTCCATGTAACGTTGTCACATATGTGTATATATATAATCATTGCGAGTCCACGTCACCTTGATTCATGGCTTGCATCATCTTGCATCTTGCCTAGAAAGCCTAGGATGACGTCGAAACCTTTAGCTGCCTCCAAATCACTACACCCAGATCACCCTAGTCAAGTGTGTATCCGACCTGCCGTGTGGTTCTGCCAAGTGCAAGACTTACCAAGTAAGGACAGGTTCCCCGAGTCACAAGCCTCGAGGATGCACTCCCGAGTCACATCGGGATGTTTGAAGACTGGATTTGAGCCTAAGGTGAGCAGGGTTTGTGGCGCTCTTTGCTATCAAAAGAGTATGTACTCTACTTTAAAGTGCTTGGCGGGCAAAGTTTCAAGACCCTTGGGCATGCAAAACTACCGTTGGACAAACAATACTAAATCCGGGATGTCACCGTCAGTTGACCTAGTGGTGCCTGGTTTGGCCCCATCGTGGTGTGGTGTGGAGCCTAGGCAGTTGCTTAAGAATATGGTAAGGGTGAAGTACACAATTCCAACCGAACTTTCAGTGGCAAGCAAAACTCATTTAAGAAGTTCAAAACCATACCGGAGTCTTCTAAAGTCTTACAGTACACCATGGTTTTCCATAATGTATCTGGCGAGTTTGCAAATTTATGCTGGGTCAGCCTCACTGCTTTGGAGCCTTCCTCCAGAGTTCAAACCTCCGCAGCCTCAGAGTCTCCAGCTGAGATCTAACTCTCGCAGCGAAGCCAGTGCCTGTGACATCCCAAAGAATCTCACAAACTGCCTTGAGAACTTGACAACGGCTCTAGCTTGCTGCACCCACCATGCAGGCCAAAAGATTGTACAATTCTTCATCTGCTCACCTTTGATGAACAACTCAAGAAAACGATCATTCTTGATCAAAGGAGCAATGGCATCACATTCTCTCGCCCACCTCAAGAGATGCCACCTCATCGAAGTCTTCCACTAGATTGCCTTCCAAATCCAGGATCTGCAAAGCCTGGAGCTCAGGCACATTGCAAGGTTCGCTCATCTTTGCATTGTCTATGCTGAAGGGCTCTGCCTTTAGCCTGTCATTCACCTGCAATTTGTCCATTGTTATTGATCTCAGCTGAATCCGTCGTTCCTCATGCGCCAACAAAGGGCTGAGGTCTTTGATGTCATTGAACGACACATAGAGCTCCTGGACTCATGTTTTGAGATAAACATATATAATTATCTGTATAAACTATTGGCATTCAACAGGGCCGTGCAATGGAGAGTACACCAAAGTCATCCAAAGTGATGGTGTTCGAAGCTGAGTCTTCAGGGACACTGAAGTACGCTGGATGGGTATGTCTTAGAATAGGGAGGCCATTGCTTCTAGGTTGGAGGCCATCCCTATTAGGTAGCTTGGAGGCCATTGCTAGTAGGTTGGAGGCCATTGCCAGGTCTTCTCTTTATGGTCTACTTCTTTCTTTAGTTGTTTTATTCCTTTCTCTTCGGTTGGAGGCCATTCCTATTAGAATAGGGAGCAGGTGTTGGCCTACATTCCCCCCTCCAGCTAGGGGTCTTTGGGGGATTCCCTGTATTAAAAGTAACACAGCGAGCAGCTTCTCAAGATGTGCAATGTATATAAATAAGCATTCAAACAAATATATAGAAACCAAAACATTTCTCAATTTGCTCGTGGAACCAGAACGTTTTGTGCAGTTTGTGCTGGCATCAGTGAATTGTCCTCTGCTTGGACATTTGTGCACATGCTGTCACAGAATGATGTTTTGAGCTGGCAAACAAGCTGCCTCAGCTTCAGGTCTCAACTTCCAAGCCTCAGCCCCCCAAAAAATGGCAGCACTACTGCGACAATTGATATGATGACATTGGCCATGTCATGTATACCAGAAGGTACCTCTATGTGTCTATATATATGTTCAGCGTTCCTCGTGAGACCTATTTCCTCA